ATACCGGCCCGCCGCCGTGAGGAGCCGTAGCCTGGAGGGGGGATACCGGCCCGCCGCCGTGAGGGGCCGCGGCCCGTCTCCGGCGCAGAGATGATCGTGACGCCCCGGCGGTACCCCGGCCGCCGGCCGGGAGAGCTGCCGTTCAAGTCGGTGCCCCTGGACAGCATCCCCGCGGGCACGCTGACCCCGCTGAAGGAGTTCCTGAGGCGTCAGGGCGCCGTGGAGGTGGGCGCGGAGCCGGCGGGCCGCGGGGAGAGGAGACCGGCGGCCGGCGGCGTCTTGCAGTCCACGCTGGTGGCGGGCGGCGGGGGCCAGCCGGAGCCGCTGGATGTCAGCGAGATCCCGCCCGGGCCCCAGCGGTGGCTGAAGCGCCCGGCCTGCGAGCCGCCCCCCAGCGAGTCCCCGGCCAAGATCTTCCAGCGGATGAAGGCCAAGGCCCAGCAGCAGCCCCGGGGCTGCGGCACCGACTCCATCCTGACCCCCGCCCCGAGGCCCGCCGCCGCGCTGGCCCGGCTGCCGCAACCCGCTGAGGCGGAGGGCCGGCAGGGACCCGCCGGGACGCCCAGGGGCAGTGTCCGGCCGGAAAAAGGTTGGTTTCTCCGCGAAAGAACGTTAACCTCGGATTTAGGTCCCATACTATAACCTTTAGCTCCCTGTGGCTTTCTCTGTGTTTTGCTTCTGACTCTTCCAGGGTCTGGAAAAAGCAGCGGTGTGCATTGATAGGTGTAAAATAATCATAGAATGGTTTGGGTTGGAAGGGACCTCAAAGATCATCGAGTTCCAACCCCCCTGCCCTGGGCAGGGACACCTCCCACCAGACCAGGTTGCTCCAAGCCCCCTCCAGCCTGGCCTTGAACCCCTCCAGGGATGGGGCAGCCACAGCTTCTCTGGGCAACCTGGGCCAGGCTCTCATCACCCTCACAGCAAAGAATTTCTTCCTGAGATCTAATCTGAATCTTTTTTCTTCCAATTTAAAACCGTTTCCCCTTGTCCTATCATTACCCTTCCTGGCAAAGAGTCCCTCCCCAGCTCTTCTATAGGCCCCCTTCAGGTATTGAAAGGCCGCTATAAGGTCTCCCCGGAGCCTCCTCTTCTCCAGGCTGAACAATCCCAGCTCCCTCAGCCTGTCTCCATAGCAGAGGTGCTCCATCCCTCTGAGCATCTCTGTGGCCTCTGCTGTACCTGTTCCAGCCGGTCCATGTCCTTTCTGTGTTGAGGACTCCAAAGCTGGACACAGAGCTCCAGGTGGGGTCTCACGAGTGCAGAGCAGAGGGGCAGAATCACCTCGGTAACACTACTGGTTTTCCCTCAGATGTTTGGGATTTTTTTTTTTTCTTTTTAAAGTTTGGCTGGGGGTGTTTAATAAAAGGTGTCTGTGCCGTAGCTGATGTTTCTTCCCCTTTCTTTACCTTAGAGGAATCCGTCCCGTGGCACTTTCTCCCTTTCTTGCTCAGTCTGGCTTTAACTGCTCCCTCAGTTCTGTTTGTGAGCGGGACCCCTTGCAACACCTTGAAAAACAGAGAATTGCACTTTATAAGCTTTAAAAAAAAATAAATCAAAGCAAGCCATGACTTTAACTACCTCCCTGCAGTCGATACAGAAAGGAGAAAGGCTGGTGGAGGGACTGTTTGGGTTTTGAAGTCCTTCCAGAGGGTTTCCCCGGGCAGCCTGGCGTGATGGCTTTCCCAGTGTGTCTCTGGTCCCTGACTGGTTGGTGCAATGGGAACTTTAAAGCCCCGTGCCCTCCTGTAGGGGCGAGCAGGAGTGGGAGACCCACTGAAACACTGGCTGCTTTGTGGGAAGGGTTATGTTGCATTGCTACCTGTGTTCCTGTTCCGAATCTCCTGTACTAATCCAGTTTTGGGAGGGGGTTAAGACCTCTGTGGCATGTTGATGTTCATTTTAAGACCTAATTGCAAAAAATTAGGCTAAGTGCTCAGCCTGGCTTACCTCGCCAGTAGTGTGGGCAGCTGTGTGCTGTTCTCATTGGGGGCTGTTGAGTTGTCCAGACGGAGATCAGTGACAAGTGGTGTCCCTCAGGTCTGTACTGGGACCAGCACTGTTCAATATCTTCGTCGGTGACACGGACAGTGGGATCAAATGCACACTCAGCAAGTTTGCGGGTGACACCAAGGTGACTGGTGGTGTTGACACGCCTGAGGGATGGGATGCCATCCAGAGGGACCTGGACAGACTGGAGAAGCAGACCTTGTGTGAACCTCAGCTTGAAAAACAGAGAATTGCACTTTATAAGCTTTAAAAAAAAATAAATCAAAGCAAGCCATGACTTTAACTACCTCCCTGCAGTCGATACAGAAAGGAGAAAGGCTGGTGGAGGGACTGTTTGGGTTTTGAAGTCCTTCCAGAGGGTTTCCCCGGGCAGCCTGGCGTGATGGCTTTCCCAGTGTGTCTCTGGTCCCTGACTGGTTGGTGCAATGGGAACTTTAAAGCCCCGTGCCCTCCTGTAGGGGCGAGCAGGAGTGGGAGACCCACTGAAACACTGGCTGCTTTGTGGGAAGGGTTATGTTGCATTGCTACCTGTGTTCCTGTTCCGAATCTCCTGTACTAATCCAGTTTTGGGAGGGGGTTAAGACCTCTGTGGCATGTTGATGTTCATTTTAAGACCTAATTGCAAAAAATTAGGCTAAGTGCTCAGCCTGGCTTACCTCGCCAGTAGTGTGGGCAGCTGTGTGCTGTTCTCATTGGGGGCTGTTGAGTTGTCCAGACGGAGATCAGTGACAAGTGGTGTCCCTCAGGTCTGTACTGGGACCAGCACTGTTCAATATCTTCGTCGGTGACACCTGGGACCAGCACTGTTCAATATCTTCATCGGTGACATGGAGATCAGTGACAAGTGGTGTCCCTCAGGTCTGTACTGGGACCAGCACTGTTCAATATCTTCATCGGTGACATGGACAGTGGGATCAAATGCACACTCAGCAAGTTTGCGGGTGACACCAAGGTGACTGGTGGTGTTGACACGCCTGAGGGATGGGATGCCATCCAGAGGGACCTGGACAGACTGGAGAAGCAGACCTTGTGTGAACCTCAGGAGGTTCAAGAAGGCCAAGTGCAGGGTCCTGCAGCTGGGTCGGGGCAGCTCCCAGTATCCATACAGGCTGGGGCATGGAGAGCAGCCCTGAGGAGAAGGACTTGGGGGTATTGGTGGATGAAAAGCTCACCGTGAGCTGGCAAATGCACTCACAACCCAGAAATCCAACATCATCCTGGGCTGCATCCCCAGCAGTGTGGCCCCTCTGCTCTGGGGAGACCCCCCAGTGCTGCCTCCAGCTCTGGGGCCACCAACAGCAGAAGGACATGGAGCTGTTGGATGGGGCCAGAGGAGGCCACGGAGATGCTGGGAGGGCTGGAGCCCCTCTGCTGGGAGGACAGGCTGAGAGAGTTGGGGGGTTCAGTCTGGAGAAGAGAAGGCTCCGGGGAGACCTTGGAGCCCCTTCCAGTGCCTCAAGGGGCTCCAGGAAAGCTTTTGCATCATCACATCACAAGTGGATAACCCCTTTTATGGAGTACCAAAAGGGGTTGGTATTGGTGCTGCTTGTTAGACCTTCCTGCTGTGAAACACACCCTGTTTGTGGGCTGGGTTACACCAGACACACGTGCACACACCTGAGGGTGCTGCTCACACCCAGCTGAGGCAGCACAGCCTCTAATGCCCCCAGGAAAAAGCAGAGCTCCTGTTACCCACCCATCCTGGGAAAGAAAAGAAAACCTGTTGTTGCCCAGTGAAGTTTAGTATCTTACGAAGTATGGACTTTGCTTCTACTGCCTCCCATATGAAAATGGTTTTCTTCCCCAAATTTGAAGATTTTTTTTTTTTATATTGTTATTTTCCAGAACTAGTTTGCAATGGGTTTCCCAAGAACCAGATTGCAAAGGTACAGACCGTACACCCCCTGGTGCAGGAGTCCCCTCAGAAGTTCTTCTTGCGTGTAAAGCAGAAACTGCAGCAGCAGCAAAAAGGTACTTGGGGATTGCTCCTGAGAGCTCGTTGGGTTTCTGTTCTTGCTTGGCATCTCTCCTGTGCTTTAAAGGTAGAGTACTGTCCTTCTGACTAATGGAAACTTGGGGGAGAATCCTAACCCTCTTATTTGTTGGCTTTTTAAATTTTATTTATTTTTCCCCTTAGCTTTTAATACATAAGGAGAAAAGGTTTGCCTCCATGAGAAATTCTCTTGTATTTGGTTTTCTCCGTGTTGCTACTTGATGGCGACCCTGTATATTCTTCTCTCCTGTAATTCAGTTTTGGAAATGAGGATGAAGAAAACGATGGGTGGCAAAGGCTTAGTGGTGTTCAGCTTCAAAACTGAGCTGAATTTATCTGAAAACTCAAACCCCAGTGCTTCTGGCTCCCAGCAGAGCAGCAAAAATGGAAATATTTGAGATGCTGTTTTTTATGAAAACAACTTTTTTTGCTCTGCAACGAGGATTCACTAAAGAAAAAATAGAAAGAATAGTAAACAAATACTATTAATAGGTATGGCATTAGCTTGTTTTGGGGGGAAAGTGGGATATCTCTAAGTGTTTAACAGCAGGTGCTGAGGAAAAGCTAGTCCAAACAAGTTCAGAGAGTGGCTTGTGTTAACAACTGAAATAGGTGGCGCTTTTGTAATTGTGATGGCCATCAATAATCTCCGCTCATTAGAAATGGAGCTAACTTTATGAATGTATTTTTATTAGTTCTGAAATATCACTGACTTCTTTGTTATTCTAATGGACAGATCGAGCACCTTCAAACCTGGTCAAGCAGAATGTTCCTCCTCCCACAGCTACAGAAAAGCCATTGGTCAAATCTGCCTTTGCTGAGCCGCTCAGGAGGGACCCTGCAGAGCCCGTGGCTGCTGAGAAGGATGATCAGGATGATTTCCTTGTGGAATCAATGGATGCTGATGATGAAATGTCTCAAAATACTGCTTCTGTGATTATAAGCCCTCCCCCTTTTAAAAGTGGGGATTGGTTAGGAGAAAGGTGGAGAAATGGAGAAGCAAAAGAACTTCATCAAGAGAGAAGAGAATTGCAGCCAAGCAAAGAGCAACCTGCTCAGGGAGGAGAGAAGATACAGGAGACTAATCCTCAAAAGCCCTTGCCGTGCTTATGTAGCATCATGCTCTCTTCTCCCAAAATCCACATTCCGAGGAGGCAAAAGCCAAAAGAAGCCCGTGCAGATCAAGTTGCTGGCAAAGCAGACAAAGAGGTGGGAGAACTTACTTAATACTTTAAGGCAAAGGAGGGATTCCTGTGAGCGCTTGTCGCTCAGAGTTGCTATTTATTTCAGGTTTTTTTGGTCAAAAGTAATGAGTGCTCAGAAGAGAATGAAACTATCCAAGTGTTAATTGCCATGTGTATGATTGAGAGGAAACAAACCTCTGGCTGCCTCTGCAGAGCCAAGGAGGAGGGGTCTTTCTCAGCTGTGGGCCAGGGCTGGTTCCACAGTGACCCGAGTCCGTATGGCTCATGGAGAAGTGAAAGTCTGGGCTCTCCTGAGGAACATCTCCACTCCTGGTGGATTAAGTGGCACAAGAACCTTTTCCTCAGAGACCAGGCTGCAGATCTCGTTTTCAATTTACTACACGCTTGGCAGTTTTTACAACTTTGTGACTAAATCTGGAGGGAAGCAGCACATTTGGAAGTGTGCCGCGTTCCTGGGTGATTCCTTCCCAGGCGGTGGCAGCCTCCATTCCCGGGGGATTCCCTTTGCTCCCCAGGGATATCTGTGGCACATCCAAGCTAAGAGGGTTGTTTTGTTCTCCCTCAGCCTTGTCAAGCATGTCCGAGAGGTTTTCCTGTATTAAAAGTTGCCGTTATGGTGAGCTTTGATTTAAATAAGGAACAGGCACCTGTTAATGTTTAAGATTTGTAGCCGAGGAGCAGCTGCTGGAAGAGATGTCCTGGGACACCAGAGATGTGGGCACTGGGTGGGCATAGCTCTACCTCTCGGGTACCTTCCCTCCCTCAGGGGCAGATCAGGGGTAAGATTGTTAGTGAAACCAGGGCTGATGGTCAAAAGGTGAATGTCATTAAAGAAAAGATGTGGAGTTTATCAAGTGAAGCTGTGAGAAGAAATAGTGATACTTTTAGATGTTAAAAAAATCATTTTCCAAGATGCTTTTTCTCCTAAAACAGTTGTATGTTTCATACACGGTTTTCCAAACTGCAGCTGGAGTGCGAGTGACTTGCTGGCTTTGTAATGTGAAATTAGGGGTGTCAGTAGTTTGCAATATCAGATACAGCCATTGTAATACTGTCTGAATTCCAGCAACAAGCTGGCTAATCAATGCCATTTTATTTTTTCATGGATAACTTTTTTCTGAGCAGTAATGGAGGACAGCTGACCTCGTGTAAGGGGTAATGGCACAGTGGTGGTATCTTTTGTGAGGAGCTTTTGGGATTTGCTAGAGGTCGTGGCTAATGACGTTGTCTTCTCAAAGTCAATTATGAATTACTCAAAAGCTGTAATTTAAATTCCTGTCTTCACTTGTGCATTAGACTCCAGCTTCGTTGTGCTTCAGCAGTTAATGTATATAAAGGTTGTTTTCAGTTTTTCTGGTCTGGAGGCTGGTGCCTATATGTCTCCTTGGTTTATACAGGAGTTAATTTCTATTTTGCTGATGCCTCGGTGACGCTGCATAGTTTAGTCTAATTTAAAAATGACTTTTTTTTTTTTTTGCAACAGAAAAATGTCTGCCTAACCAGTTGGAGAATTAAAGTGATGGATGGTAACACTGCAATATGTGTTGAAGGAAAACGGAAGTAAGGAGTTTTCTGATTTCCATGTGCTGTAGAACGTGCCGGGGGGCTGCAGAAAGGCTGCTCCACCTCCGCCTGCCTGAAGGGCTGTAGCTTTGAGACCTGTGTCCCTAGAATGCCTCGGTGCTGGGGGGGTGAGGGACCACATGGCTGGGGCTGGGGAGCAGTGGGGGAGAAGGGGGCAACTGGGGTTGTCCTGACCTAGGCTGGCTTAGGTGGCCAGGAGTAAATACAAAGTGATGTTCTATTTGAAAATTTTTTTATCAAAGAGGTGAATTCCTCCAGGTGCGCAAGGAGGAGAGTGCCCACCTACAGGAAAATACTGGTTAAAGAATTATTTGAAAATCCAGTCCTGAGTCAATCAAAAAGCTTAAGAGGGATAAAGACGAATGTGTTTGTCCAGTGGATCCTCCAAACTGGTGCTGACTTAGGAGCCTTGTGAGCTGCTACTTCATTTCACACAAAATCTGTGTTGTGGCTGATGTCAGTCAAACATGGCACGGGCTGACTGCCATGGGCCATGTGTTCCTGCCACGTCACTTCTGGTGGCACTGGTACTCCTACAGCTCCGTGGCCAACCGTGGCAGCAGCCAATCTGCCTGAAAACTGACTCTGGTTTTGTGGTTCTGTTTTTGGTCAGATTGTATCCAAACAGCCATAAGATCAGGAAAACAAGCGTCAGGACAAAAGAGAGCTTTAAGCTTCCTGTAAAAGAGGTTGAAGACATTGTGAAAATCATAGCATCGTGCTGGTTGGAAGAGACCTTTAAGATCATCAAGTCCAACCATCAGTCTAGCACTGCCAAGGTGCCACTGACCCGTGTCCCTCAGCCACCAATATGCCCTCGGAGAAGAGTGGATATTGTTCTACTCTTCCTGTCACTGCTCACCCACCGAGCGCTCAGCGCCTTGCTCCTGGGGCAGTGCTGGGACAGGGGGGGACTCGGTGGGCTCTCTGAGAGCTGGTGGGGCTACCTGTGCTGGGAAACAGACATTTGACCTCTATCGTGGCACGTTTGTGACTCCTGGAGTGTTATCACTGCAATAACAATCTAGATGGAGTCCTTCACTCCCTTCAGCTTCCGCAGCCCAACATCAAGCTGATGTTCTGTGACGTGGTCCTTTTGTCCCCTCCAAGGATTAGACAGCACCAGAACTGTTTCTCTTCCAAGCTGAGAAAAGAAACTGTAGCACCTTTTGCCAGCGTTGGTATCGCTCATAAAACATGTTGCATTGCCAGTCTCGTGTGGAATATCAATATTCTAGTTTTAAATGCCTTCTTTTCTGAGAGGCCTGTTTTATTGCTGTTATTGACGTTCTCTGTCTTTTCTTAGAGATATGAGAGACCTGCCTTGGCACAGCAACGCCATTGTGGAACGCGTAGCGCACAACCAAGTTCAAACCTCATCTGGCAACATCTACCTGCTGCAGGGAAATATAGACTCAGCTTCCATGAGGAAAGAAGGTAAGAAGATGATTCTTAATGTAACGTTACAAACGGAAAAGGGCGTTAGATTGATGATGCTGAAGAGAAGGTTTTGCTTTATGCCACTGAAAAGCTCTTGGGAAGACTGTAAGGATGCAAAGTAGTTATGTGATAAGGAGGAGGAGCTTCTCTGGGTTTAAATAGCAATAGAAAATGAGAGGAACAGAAAGAGAATCCTGTAATGATGTGGGCTGTTGAGCAGATTCATAAACTCTGTAGAAAACAACTTGAGCTGGGCAGCAGTAGCCACAGTCTCGTGTTGCTGCGTGGGGATGGTAAGAACGGGGAAAGCTTGTGCTCCTGCTTCCCAGGAGATTGGTGCTGTCTCCAGTTAATGACCCCTCACTTGATTTCTCTATGAAGTATGCTGTTCTCCTAAGCTGGGGAAACTCATCCCTCTCTGGTGTTCAAAAATGTAGTGGCTTCTGAGGTCCTTAAAAAGCCATGACTCTACTGGATGTTACTTCTGCCCTGTCTGACCCAAAGTTTTGCTCAGCTCTCGTTAACGCTGCTCCTCTCTCAAACAGGATTTCCCTACCGTTTCATCAAGAGATTCATGTATGGGTTTTCCAAAAAGTGGAAGGAATATGTTGAGGAGTTTCTTGAGGAAAGAAGAAGGTAATTTCTTTGGAGATTCTGTTTCATTGCAATGTTCTCTTATTGAGACTGTACTTTTCAAGAAAGCTCCTGCAGAGGAGTACAAACAGTTGTAGGTGTGTGCACAAGGACTACATTCCAAGCTGGTCACTGCTTTGGGAGGATACTCTTTTACTCTTCTTCATTACAGTCCTTTGGTTTTGTTCCACTTCTTTCCATAGCCTTAAACACAAGCAAAGGGCATCGCTGATGTCATTTACCTATGTTACTGTGTTGTTACAGGACAACTTTTTCATAAGTTTAGTACTTCTTTTCTTAAACTCTAAATAATTAGGAAGGAACGAAAACAAAATGGTGATGAGGATGACACTGAAGAGAGCGAGGCAGTGGTGGGCACAGATGTGTTAATAAATGGAAAAGGCTCAGCAAGAAATGCAAAGAAACCTGAAAGGAGAAACACCACCTATGAAGTATTGCCGAAGAACGATGAAAACACTTGTGAGTATTTAATGAGAGCTTTTCTTTGGAAAAAAGTTGGGGGTTTTTTGAGAGCTGTTCTCCCCAGTAAAAGATATCCAACAGCTGTCTGGTTTGTACCTCGTTAATTAGGCTGTCAGGGAGAGGGAACACACTGTCTGGGTGTTCGCTTGGACCACAAGGATCCGGAGGTGTGTCTGTGTCTGTGCTTTGCTGATGCCCAGAGCTCCAAGGTGTGCCCAGGGACTGACCCTGGGAAAGCAGCCAGAGTCTGATTTGGGCTGGAGCAGCCAAAGGCAGTGACTCCAGAGCTGCCTGGTCAGCAAAATTCATTTTTCTCCCTTTGCTTTTTTGCCTAAAATACTCTTTTTAGTCCATCTGGGACACCCTGGGGGATTCAGTGTCTCCACTGTGGCTCCACCCTTGGTTCTCCTCCCCAGCCATGCCCAGCAGTGTCAGCTGGGTTAGTGTTAGCTCGTGTCCAGTCCTGGAGCAGGTTTGTTAGGATCCGGAGGTGTGTCTGTGTCTGTGCTTCGCTGATGCCCAGCGGCTCCAAGGTGTGCCCAGGGACTGGCCCTGGGAAAGCAGCCAGAGTCTGATTTGGGCTGGAGCAGCCAAAGGCAGTGACTCCAGAGCTGCCTGTTCAGCAAAATTCATTTTTCTCCCTTTGCTTTTTTGCCTAAAATACCCTTTTAATCCATCTGGGACACCCTGGGGGATTCAGTGTCTCCGCCATGGCTCCACCCGTGGTACTCCTCCCCAGCCATGCCCAGCAGTGTCAGCTGGGTTAGTGTTAGCTCGTGTCCAGTCCTGGAGCAGGTTTGTTTTCTGGCCACAGCCGAGGCACAGAGAGTGCCAACAGCTGGGGGTGGATGGAAGGGACTGTGACCCTGGGAAAGCAGCCAGAGTCTGATTTGGGCTGGAGCAGCCAAAGGCAGTGACTCCAGAGCTGCCTGGTCAGCAAAATTCATTTTTCTCCCTTTGCTTTTTTGCCTAAAATACTCTTTTTAGTCCATCTGGGACACCCTGGGGGATTCAGTGTCTCCACTGTGGCTCCACCCTTGGTTCTCCTCCCCAGCCATGCCCAGCAGTGTCAGCTGGGTTAGTGTTAGCTCCTGTCAAGTCCTCGAGCAGGTTTGTTTTCTGGCCACAGCCGAGGCACAGAGAGTGACACCAGCTGGGGGTGGATGGAAGGGACCGGGGAAAAATTCATTACGTTGGCTTTGCTTCCAAAGGAAACGGTTGTAAAGCCAGAACCTACTGATCCACCTCTTTGGTTTTTGCCTTGTGGTGCGATCCCAGCTGTGCTGGGGTCACCAATAGCTTTTGCTTTTGACTTGGACTTCTCTTTAACACCTTCTCCTGGGTTCCAGCAGGGCCAAACGGTGTGTTCCACTCGTTAATGCTGCAATGCCAGAAAAGCTGGGCTGGTTTTTCTCTCGTTTAACACCTTCTCCTGGGTTCCAGCAGGGCGTTGGCCAAACAGCACTGTTCTGCTCATTAATGCTGCAATGTGAGAAAAGCTGGGCTGGTTTTTCTCTCATGAGTCAGGATTTGTCCAGTGGGACAACTTTTCTGTATCATTCTTTTCCCCATATGAATTTTACAGTATTTATAACCTTCTAAACACAGTAAAAACGAGAAGCTCACAATGGTAAATTCTATAATTTATGAAGCTGATTACCTCAGTCCAATGCTAATTGCTAACCTGAACGCTCTGGAAAGAACAACACAACATTGTAGTGTTATATTTTCCCCGTAATCAGTGCAAACGAGCCGGTCTAAATGCAGCATTGCTCCTACACTTGTGACGTCTGCCCAGCTGAAATAGCAATGCAATATCTGGGACAAAACTGTATTTCATGGGTTGTTTTGGTTTTTTTTTTCCTTGTAGATGTAACCCCAGTGCACAATTCCACCCTGAACAGCTCCAACGGAGTTTACACGCGCAGCGGCCGCCTGGTCAAACCCCCACTGAGTTTCTGGTGTGGGCAACGGGAGGTTGTGGATCAGGGGCTGAACGTGACTATAGAAAAAGGCGGAGTGGATTACCTGAGCATGGTGAGTTTGGGATGTACTGCTATTTACTGCTATCTGAAATACAGGGAATAACCCTGCTAGGGACCTCCCAGGAGGACCGCCATGGTGAGTTTGGGATGTACTGCTATTTACATGTCTCTGGAATACAGGGAATAACCCTGCTAGGGAGCTCCCAGGAGGACTGGCTGTTGTGAGCACTGCCTGAGCTGTGCTGTTCGCATTTATGATGACACTTTAAGCAACTCTAATAATATTCTGGTTAAAAGTGGAGGAAAACAGTGGTCTTTGTGGTAGTTGTGAGCTTCTTTTTTTTTTTTTTACTTCTGTAATTAGTCAGCCATAGGGCACGGGGGCCATGCTAAGGCTCAGCACCGGCTGCAGCGATGAAGGTGTACATCCAACTCGCCGCCAGCTCAAGCAGTTCTGGCTCTTGAGATTTTTAACTGGTGTTTTTGACTATTTGAATGTAAATACTGAGCCTGACTCAAGCTGCTTTGGCTGCCTGTGTTTGGATAAAGGCCTGTGTTCCTCAGCGAGGAGTGAGCAGACGCTGGTCAGTGGAGGTGGGTTTCAAACCTACCCATCCAGTAAAGGTCTGGCTTTTTCAGAGCTGGTGTCAGTAGGCTTGCTCTGTAATCTCTTGCAGAAGCTTAAATTAAATTGTTTTATTTTGAAGATGTTCAGCAGTAAGAGATTCCAAAGACAGACCAGTTCCATCTCCAAGAAGAATAAAAAAAAGGAAGTAATGAAGAGAACAGAAGAAACAGCAAAAATCCAAAGGAAAGGTAAAAAATACATTAATTTCTTTCTTCAGGTAAATCCTTGGGAATGGGCTGCCAATAACCTGTGCTGTGTGTCTCTGAAATGGGGCACAGAGCACCATGGGATGCTTCCTACCATCACCAGTTTCCTTCTTAAGTGACATTTTGCTGTGCCTCATAGGGAAGCAGTGTTTAATTTATTTTTGTGCCCCAAGATGACCATTCAGCAGAGTATCTCCTTGTCCTGGAGATCTGTCGGAGCGGGGAGCTGCAGCAGGACCCGTGCTGCTTCTCTTCCTGCAGACACAGCCTCTGTGGGACAGGGGCTCCCAGCTCTCCAGCAGCGAGGGAGCAGGCTCTTCTGAGCTTGTAGGAGAGCACGGTAAGGGTTGATGGTGCAATGTGTGAGATGACACCCACATCCTCTCTTCCAGGGGAAAACAATGAAAAAAGAGTCAGTTCCAAACCAGGGAGCAAGGGGGCCAGGCACTTCGTGTCGGATGAGGAGGAGAGCGATGGCGCTGTCAGTAGCACAAAGACTGTAACACAGCTCTCTGTTAGGCTGACTCCCTTTAAAGCTGGGGCACCAGTCAAACCCAGCCATCCCAGCACAACGCCAGGAGCAGGGAAGGAGCAAGGAGGAAGGGACTCCACGGAACTGAGTGCCTTCCAGCAGGGCTACAGGTACTCCTTAAGGTCGGCCAAACAACTGCTTCAAGACAAGGGTTTAACAGAACCGTTAAGCAAAGATGAGGAAGAGGGATCCAGTGAAGACATCCCACTGGCTATCAAAAGGAAAAATAACCCTTTCTCTAAAAAAGTCAGTCAAAACTCTGAATCTTCCTCTAACTGTAGAAGTTCACAGGATGGTGCAGACACGGTGTTGGGTGAACCCAGGACAGTACAACACTCTGCTGCCTCCCGTAACACGCCCATCAGGCAAAGTCTGCCCGGCTCCAGTGATGGGTCTGATTTGCTTGAAGGGAAAAATCCCAGTCCTTCCCACCTGCCTTCTCGGGTAATGCAGATAAGAAGCAGAACCAACCTTCCCAGGTATTTTTTTGATTCTGACACAGAGACTGAAAGCAGTGGAGAGGAATTTCAAGTAAAAGAAAAGAATTCAAAAGTACCTGGTAAAAACCCAAGTGGTAAAGTTTTTAATAATGCCAAGTCTTCAGCACCAAAAGCAAGAGAAGCTGAGAGGGAAAAGGTGCAGAAACCTCTAGAGCTCTTCCCGCGGGCAGCTGATGGCTGGTCTGAAAAGGAATTGCTGAAGCTCCACAGGCAAGTGGCTGCCCTGTGTTCCTGGGGACACAATGGCTTTGGGCACTGGGAGGCTTGGGTGGTCTGGGTTCTTCAGATTTGGTCTCTTTTGTGTTATTTAAAGGTTTCCTTTAGGTTTTAATTCCCTCTTACACAGTAAAGTTTACTAACAAATTAAAAAATAGTGAAATAAAAGAGACAGCTGAGCAGTTTCTGAAGTACCTGAAGAAGGGTGAGCCCACAGCAGCCCCACCGCTGTCATCGGGGTAAAGTGAGAGGAACACAGGCATTAGGCAAAGTTTTGTGAATCTACCCTACCTGTTTTTACTTCATCTTATTAGAAGTGATAAACATTCCTCAGAGTAATGCTGAAAAACACAAGTAGGTAAATAATATGGTCAAAGTGTTTATATTTATGGCTTGGCACGGCAGAGAGAGTGCAATCTGTCCCCTGATGGAGTGAAGTGTTAAACATGATAGCAGCCTTCCAGTACCTGAAGGGAGCCTACACTGGGGAGAACCTGTTTAGAAAAGCCGGGAGTAACAGGACGAGGGGCAATGGCTTCAAGCTGGAGGGGAACAGATTTAGACTGGAGATGAGGAGAGGGTTCTTCACTGTGAGGGCTGCAGAGCACTGGAACAGGTTGCCCAGGGAGGTGGTTGAGGCCCCATCCCTGGAGATATTCAAGGAGAGGCTCGACGAGGCCCTGGGCAACCTGGTCTAGTTGGGGGTGTCCCTGCTGACTGAGGGGGGGCCGGACTAGATGGCCTTTGGAGGTCCCTTCCAGCCTGGGCAATTCTATGATTCTATGATGTGCATATCTAAGCTTTGTTAAGGGGAGACAAACTGCAAGAATGTTTAATGCATCATCCAAACATACTCCTGGGCAGTATTTAATACAGACCTTAGGTAATAAAATGCCCGTGTTTGGTTTTGTTTCTTTTAGATGAGACCCCTGCAAAGGCAGGAGCTGCTGCCTGGGGGCAGGGGGAGGTGCTGCAGATAAGGACTGAGTTACCTTGTGCTGGAGCTCTTGGCTGCGGTCGGGCAAAGAAACGCGCGTGTCCTAAAGTGTCTGGCCAAGATGCCGGGGCTGTCTGTGTCCGTGGCACAGTGTCCCTTCTTGGGGACACTGCTGGTCTCTGGGGGTGACGAGGGCTGTGGTGTTGCTCTCTCCTGCAGGGCCATCGCCTCCTTCCCAAAGCACAGGAGCGGGTTCTGGGTGGAGGTGGCCATGGCGGTGGGCTCTCGCTCCGCAGAGGAGTGCCAGCAGAAGTACGTCCAGGAACAACAGGCCAAAGGTTCCAGGGCCCGCTCCAAGAAGAGCACTGCTCCAGGAAAAGCAGAACAGAAAGGTACTGACACCTCGGCCCTGGGTACTTTGTTGTCTTTAAAGAATTCTGAATTCAATATTTATTGTGCAGTGAGAGGCACAGACACAAATGCACACCTGAGTCCCATAGTGGAGGGGGCCATCTTCTAGATTACTCGGGTCTTCTCATCATGTGTCAGCTGTGGGTTAGTTTTCTTCTGCACTTGACTGCCTGCACAAGCAGCTAGTTTGGCTTTAGTCTGAAGATGGGGATATTGGGAAGATGTTCTTCTGAACTGGCCACACCAGTCACTCGTAAGGGACAGCAGGGACAGGAACACACACACCCGTGCGGGGGATAAATCTGAGTGTCTTTTGTCTCTGAAACGCAGGTGTGCAGGGATAATTCTGTTAAAATTGTAATAAATAGCTGAGGTACGTGTGACACTTGCAGTGGCCACTTAAGGCTCCAGACTAAGCTTCTGATGGGTGTGGGGGAGAAATCTTTTTTGGAAGCATAAATCGTTTAAGAACTGAGAGGGTGACAAGCTGTAAGGCATTTCTGCAGAGAGACTGGATCTCACACCAGCACTGACTGCACTTAGTGAATTTTAAAGCCATGCCACAGAACTCGTGTCTTAAACCAGTATTTTGATTCATATAGATAAGAAAGAGCCAGTTGCCATAACTGCCAAAGTGGGGACCTTAAAGAGAAAGCAGCAGGTGAGGGATTTCCTGGACCATTTGCCGAAGGACAACCACGACGATATCTTCACTGCGACGCCCTTTCAGAACAGAAGAATAAAGGTAAATGTGAGCAAATGGCTCTGAAGCGTATCTCACAACACATCTTTCTTTTTGCTGTCTTCTGCCTTTTAAAGCCAGTGCCTCTTCCAGCTGGGACTCCAAAGGCACACGGATGTCTCTTCACCTGTTTGTTCTTTTGTGGGTTTTCTGTGTGGGGACAGTGTGATTCTTACCCCAGTGTGTGTCCAGAGGGGGGTGACAACCCTGGCGAGGGGATGTTTAGGCAGAAGTACCTTCATTGCTGTCTGTAACCTGCCACGTGCTGTGGGGAAACCCCATGGCTGGTGGGAGCAGGAAGGAACTGATGAAAGAATCCATGCATCCCTGGCCAAGACTCCCTGGTTTTGCCGAGAGGTTCTTCAGGAGACTCCTCCTTTGGTAGAATACAATCACAGCCAGTCATTAGGCCCAGGGTCCCCCCCCCCCCCTTTTTTTTTTTTTTTTTTCCCTCAAACTCACTTTGCCTAACTTGTGCTGAGCAAGAGAAACTAACCTCCTTGTGGGGCATGGTGAGATGGTCGTGAGCACATTCCCCTCCCCGGATGGAGCCCAGCACCCTCTTGAACCCATGCAGACTCTTCACATCCACACCTTCTCGTGCGAGTTCCAGAGGTGAACTGTTTGCTGTGAGGCAGCGTCATCTTCTATATCATCTGAACTTGTATTTGCTGGCTTTGTCACGCAATCACAGAATGGTTTGGGTTGGAAGGGACCTTAAAGCCCACGCAGTGCCACCCCCTGGGCAGGGACACCTCCCAGCAGACCAGGTTGCTCAGAATTGTCCTCCACCTCTCATGGGGAAGGGACAGGGAACAACTGTCCTGGTCCCCCTTCACCCCTGGTGCCAGTTAAAGCTCCCCCACCCCAGAACCTGCTGTGCGTTTGACCATCTGCATTTCTTCTCCCTGAACCTTTCCAGTTGTCTCCTTCCTTCAAGATGGAAGGACCAGGAGTTCACTGAGTAATCCTGAAATCCTCTTCCTGAGTAGTAATGGTCAGCGATGAGTTTGCAACCAGAAATGATTTTTTGCGTGTGTAGTAGCAGCCAAAAAAGTGAGATGTTGGGCACAAGGGGAGGAGGATTAGGAGCAAGAGGGAGGTGTCGCTGGCTGCCTGTGCACACTGCTGGCCTCTGAGTCTCGTGAGGGACTCGGTGGAGTCAGAACCACAGCTGAAGTGAGGCAGGGGATGGAGTGACTGCCTGCAGAGGAGAGAACAGAGTCTGGGACCCTTCCCTTTGGGGACAGGACCAGGGTTCAGAGTCGGGAAGAGGCTGTGTCCTGTGGCTGCCCTGAGACAGACCTGCCAGAAGCCTTTTCAGCAGTTGAAAAGGGCAGGTCACTGATTGCTCTGATGTGCCTTTGTAGCTGCCAGCGTTCCGGGGAAGCCAGGATGATGATGATGACTTTGCCCTTACGGACAACCCCATCACGCCTTCCTCATCCATCTTCCCTACGGCCAAAACCCCTCAGTGTGAGCACATCAGCCCGGGAATGCTGGCGCCCATCAACAGGTAGGAGCTCCTGCTGTCCCACCGCTCACCTCGGCCTCTCCCACTGCCCCAGGGCTGGGCTTTGTCTCCTCAGACAGATCTCTGGTGGGACTGGGATGCTGGTTACAGACTGGGAGCACGCAGGGGAACTCCTGGGGTGTGTTCAGAGAAAGTTGTTTCCATCAATAGTGCATGTTTGAGCCACTCAACGAAGTGTGGGCAGCGACGCACTGCCCACCGCCAGCCCTTCTGCTCTGGGGGGGCTGTGACTGGGGCGTCAGCCTCAGCAGGGGGTTCTCGGCTCATTTGGACTCTTAAAGTTTAAATCAATTGCTTCAGGCTTCACTCAAACCAGAATGTTCTGGGACCGTGCAGAGTGAGTGGTGCTGTATCTACAGGACAGGAAAGGAACACCATCTGGGCGGTGATGAAGCCTTGTCCAGTGCTTACATGAGGAGTGGTGATGAAGCCTTGTCCAGTGCTTACATGAGTTGTGGCACGGGGTCTGTGAACCTTCTGTGCTGTTACACTCCCAGAGCTGCTGCCAGCTTTAATTCACCAACAGCTGTCTCTGATGCCCCTCTCATTTTCCCTCTGACTGAGAGCCGTGTGTAGGATGCCTTTAGCCGTCGCCAGCAGGTCCTTGGGTGGCCCAGCAGTGACACTAAGGTGCCATCTCTCCCCTGCAGGAACTACTACGACAGGCACATGCTGCGGATGCAGAAGGCGGCACCAGGCAGCCGAGGCAGCTGGGACAAGGTGAAGAAGATGACGGTAACGCTGCTTTCCTTCACCCCTACTCCCACCTCAGCCACGCAGAGCTGAGCCAGGCAGCAGCCACAGAGTCCCAGGGTCACACACCCCTTGTGTATATTCAGGACAGAAAGCAGGAACCCTCCCCTTCTGCCTCCCAGAGCTCTGGGTTGGGTTTCTGTTTCTCTTGGATAGAAGTTCCATTTGTTAGAAAAGAGCTATTTATTGTCAGGAGCTGGGGCTGTTTAGTATGAGGAAGAGGAGGCTGAGGGGAGACCTCATCACTCTCTACAACTTCGTGGAAGGACACTGTAGAGAGGTTGGTGCTGGTCTCTTCTCACAGGTAATTAACAATAGAACGAGAGGGAATGGCTTCAAGCTCCAACAGGGGAGGTTTAGATTGAACATTAGGAAGGAATTTTTCACCCTAACTTGTGCTGAGCAAGAGAAACTAACCTCCTTGTGGGGCATGGTGAGATGGTCGTGAGCACATTCCCCTCCCCGGATGGAGCCCAGCACCCTCTTGAACCCATGCAGACTCTTCACATCCACACCTTCTCGTGCGAGTTCCAGAGGTGAACTGTTTGCTGTGAGGCAGCGTCATCTTCTATATCATCTGAACTTGTATTTGCTGGCTTTGTCACGCAATCACAGAATGGTTTGGGTTGGAAGGGACCTTAAAGCCCACGCAGTCCCACCCCTGCCCTGGGCAGGGACACCTCCCAGCAGCCCAGGTTGCTCAGAATTGTCCTCCACCTCTCATGGGGAAGGGACAGGGAACAACTGTCCCGGTCCCCGTTCAGCCCTGGTGCCAGTTAAAGCTCCCCCACCCCAGAACCTGCTGTGCGTTTGACCATCTGCATTTCTTCTCCCTGAACCTTTTCCAGTTGTCTCCTTCCTTCAAGATGGAAGGACCAGGAGTTCACTGAGTAATCCTGAAATCCTCTTCCTGAGTAGTAATGGTCAGCGATGAGTTTGCAACCAGAAATGATTTTTTGCGTGTGTAGTAGCAGCCAAAAAAGTGAGATGTTGGGCACAAGGGGAGGAGGATTAGGAGCAAGAGGGAGGTGTCGCTGGCTGCCTGTGCACACTGCTGGCCTCTGAGTCTCGTGAGGGACTCGGTGGAGTCAGAACCACAGCTGAAGTGAGGCAGGGGATGGAGTGACTGCCTACAGAGGAGAGAACAGAGTCTGGGACCCTTCCCTTTGGGGACAGGACCAGGGTTCAGAGTCGGGAAGAGGCTGTGTCCTGTGGCTGCCCTGAGACAGACCTGCCAGAAGCCTTTTCAGCAGTTGAAAAGGGCAGGTCACTGATTGCTCTGATGTGCCTTTGTAGCTGCCAGCGTTCCGGGGAAGCCAGGATGATGATGATGACTTTGCCCTTACGGACAACCCCATCACGCCTTCCTCATCCATCTTCCCTACGGCCAAAACCCCGCAGTGTGAGCACATCAGCCCGGGAATGCTGGCGCCCATCAACAGGTAGGAGCTCCTGCTGTCCCAGGGCTCACCTCGGCCTCTCCCACTGCCCCAGGGCTGGGGTTTGCCTCCTCAGACAGATCTCTGGTGGGACTGGGATGCTGGTTACAGCCTCGAAGCACGCAGGGGAAATCCTGGGGTGTGTTCAGAGAAAGTTGTTTCCATCAATAGTGCGTGTTTGAGCCACTCAACGAAGTGTGGGCAGCGACACACTGCCCACCGCCAGCCCTTCTGCTCTGGGGGGGCTGTGACTGGGGCGTCAGCCTCAGCAGGGGGTTCTCGGCTCATTTGGACTCTTAAAGTTTAAATCAATTGCTTCAGGCTTCACTCAAACCAGAATGTTCTGGGACCGTGCAGAGTGAGTGGTGCTGTATCTAAAGGACAGGAAAGGAACACCATCTGGGCGGTGATGAAGCCTTGTCCAGTGCTTACATGAGGAGTGGTGGCACGGGGTCTGTGAACCTTCTGTGCTGTTACACTCCCAGAGCTGCTGCCAGCTTTAATTCACCAACAGCTGTCTCTGATGCCCCTCTCATTTTCCCTCTGACTGAGAGCCGTGTGTAGGATGCCTTTAGCCGTCGCCAGCAGGTCCTTGGGTGGCCCAGCAGTGACACTAAGGTGCCATCTCTCCCCTGCAGGAACTACTACGACAGGCACATGCTGCGGATGCAGAAGGCGGCACCAGGCAGCCGAGGCAGCTGGGACAAGGTGAAGAAGATGACGGTAACGCTGCTTTCCTTCACCCCTACTCCCACCTCAGCCACGCAGAGCTGAGCCAGGCAGCAGCCACAGAGTCCCAGGGTCACACACCCCTTGTGTATATTCAGGACAGAAAGCAGGAACCCTCCCCTTCTGCCTCCCAGAGGTCTGGGTTGGGTTTCTGTTTCTCTTGGATAGAAGTTCCATTTGTTAGAAAAGAGCTATTTATTGTCAGGAGCTGGGGCTGTTTAGTATGAGGAAGAGGAGGCTGAGGGGAGACCTCATCACTCTCTACAACTTCGTGAAAGGACACTGTAGAGAGGTTGGTGCTGGTCTCTTCTCACAGGTAATTAACAATAGAACGAGAGGGAATGGCTTCAAGCTCCAACAGGGGAGGGTTAGATTGAACATTAGGAAGGAATTTTTCACTGAAAGAGTGGTCGGGCATTGGAACAGGCTGCCCAGGGAGGGGGGGGAGTCCCCATCCCTGGCTGTGTTTAAGGGCCGTTTAGATGCAGTGCTGAGGGACATGGTGTAGGGGAGGACTTTGTAGAGTAGGGGAGATGGTTGGACTCGATGATCCCAAGGGTCTCTTCCAACCTCAATGATTCTATGATTCTATGATTGAACGTGTCGCTTTTCTCAGGATTTGTAACAGCTCTTTAATTCTGTGGCCTTGAGGGACATGAAGATCCTGCTCGAGTCTTCTGTACAGTGGGAAAGGAAGCAACACTTCTCACCTTCTGTCAGATTGTCCCTCAGTATTTGGGTATTTATTCCCTCAGTATCAGCGACTTCATTTTTTTTGGCTTTTCCATGAAAAGCTGAGATCCCAGAAGCAGAAAATAATGGCTTGTGCCTCCAGTGGTAGTCGAGCAGCTCAGATTTGTAGTGAGGCTGTAGGGTGGTGCCAGGACCCCCTCATCCTGGCATGAGCCCGAGTCTGTGCCAGTCACAGCCCGGTGAGCAGAGCCTTTCTCTCCTTCTGGCAGGGCCGGGGGGTGCTGGGGACGCCGGCCTCGCGCAGAGCCCAGCTGCCTCTGGAGAACAGTGAGTATTCCCTGCTTCTCCTCTTCTCCTCAGGCTCCTTCCCTTACTCCCAGGTCACCAGGGGCTTGCTGGGGGGCCGCACTCTGGGCGCTTAATAACTTCTCCACAGTCATTTCTCATAAGCATCTCTGCTTTTTGGACCTGCTGTGACTGCTCCTCCCCACGCTGACATCCCTTCTCTCCCTGCAGAGGTGAAGCACAGCCCTGTTGTTGGGAAGCTCTTCCAGCTCGAGGCACCAGACTCTTCGGATGAAGAACGGGATGATTCCTGTTCTTCTGTGTAATGAACTCTGTGGATGTCATCAGACGTTACGTGTCTCCCGTGTGCAGCCCCCCTCTGTGGATGTCATCAGACGTTACGTGTCTCTTGTGTGAAGCTCTGAGCTGTGTTCCTGTGCTGTTAAACAGTTCCCTTTGGAAAACTGGACCCGCAGGGTTTGTATGTGGTTTAGCCTGTTCTCACCGTGCTGCCTCTCCAGCAACGTCTGTCATTTTCCATGTCTGCAAAGTGGGCTCCTCCTTCCCCTCTTCCTCCTGGGGGGGCAAGAAATGAACTCCGACACCGATTACTGGCAAGTTTTGATTCATTTTAAGATAAAATATCTTTTTGACTTATTATATTGGTACAGTCTGTAATTAAATGAAATGGCTTTTTTAATTTCCTCTCTATAGAGTTTGAATTTTTGCATTTTCTTAATGTAATAAAAGAGGACAAGCTCGTTTTACTCATGTATGGATGGGAGTCCTTGGGGAGGAGCAGGACTCCCCAGCAGCCTGGCTGGGGTAGCTGGGCCTGCAATTTTTCCTCCTCTCTTGTTTTCAGGCACACGTGGATAGTGACCCCGGCCTGGACCGTGTCGGTGGGGTTAGTTATTGCTGTTCATGTCCCTCACTGCTCTCCTGGCCCCTGCAGGAACTCCAGAAAGGGATGGAATAAAAACACAAGGTTCCTTTTCCGGGCAGCCTCACCGTGGCAGCATGGAGCTGTGGATGGTGAAGAGATGGTCACAGTGGTGGGGACAAGGAAAGGGCAGCTGAGAGGCCACCTGAGGACAGGGGAACTTACTGGCTGCCCTGGGCACAGCTCTCTCTCCTGCAGACCTGGTGCTCTGGGCAAGAAGAGCAAGGAATGTTTGGCAATTCACTGTCTTCCTGGGACACACGGGTACTGGCTGGGCAGGGACGGGAGATGGCTCCTTCCCTCTGTCACCACCTGTTGCTGAAGCCAGGAAGCTGTACTCCTTCACCCCCTCAGCCAGTATTCCCATTTCTAGAGGCATTTTGGAATGAAAACCCAGCCCTTGCTGTACACACCCACCCCTGTGGGACCTGGCTGGGGGGGAGAGAAGTGGATGGAGCATACCCAAAACCCTAGTGTTTTTGCAATATTTATTTACATATTTTACAGTGAACCAAACCTCAGTAAAGTGCAGTTAAAAGGAAACCAATCTTGGTTCCCCTCAGCTCCTGGCAGCGGCATTGCTTCTCCCCTTGGGGCAGAGGTCCTGGGGCAGCATCTGTGGGTCAAACCCATAGTGGAGGTAGCGGTAGATCTCCTCTGCCTTCTGCTGGCTGAGCTGGGCACCTGTGGCAATGTCCTGCGGGGAGCTGGAAGAGACCACAGCAGGGACCACCTCACCTGCAGCTCTTGGGGGTCCAGTGGGTGATACCGGGACAAAAGGGGAAAGATCCAGTGGGCAAGAAGGGGAAAGAGCAATAGGAATGCCACGAGCTGCTGGTGGTCACCTCTCTCCAGGTTCCTGAGGGCTAAGCCAGGCTGAGAGCGCTGCAGAGAAATGGGAACGGCAGGAAAGGGGAGAGGAAAAGGCACAGCAGTAGGTGGGAGCGTGGAAACAGTCTGTGTCACGGCCCTGGTGTGCTCAGCTGGAAGAGACAGAGCTGCACGAAGAGCAGGGGCAGAGACAGGAAAGCTCCAGGGAGCTCTGGCAGCAAGAGAAAGGATCTCTGTGAAACTGGCCCAGCAGGAGGTCCCGGGTGAGAAGAGGAGCAGAAGGAGTCAAGGCTCAGCACGCACCCAACACCTTGGCTCTTACCTGTTGGCCACCTCCTTCACGGAGCCGAAGCGATGGCACATGTTGAGGGCAGCGGGGTAGCTGAGGTTGGGAATGCTCAGGAAGAAGTTGAGCATCTCCTGCCTGTGACCCTCCAGCTCCGTCGGGACGCGGATGGCAGCAGCTTTTCTTTGCTCCACCAAAGCCAGGTCCTTCAGCAAAGCGGCGGTTTCCTCTTGGCCAGAGCTAAAGAGAATTCGGACCCCGGCCTGCACCAAGGCCGAGAGCACGCCGTCGTAGTACTGCGTCCGCTGGAAAAAACGGGTCGTTTCTCCTGCAGGGGGAGAAGCTCGGTGAGGTTTTACTGTAAGAAGTGCTGGATGAGGGCAAAAATCTAATATAAATCATTTGCAAAGCCAAATTCAAGGATTCAAGGATTGGAGCATCTCCCTTATGAGGAGAGACTGAGAGAGCTGGGACTCTTTAGTCTGGAGAAGAGAAGGCTGAGGGGAGACCTTATCAACGCCTACAAGTATCTCAAGGGAGGGTTGAAGGAGGAGGGAGCCAGACTCTTTTCAGTGGTTCCCAGTGAGAGGACAAGGGGCAACGGGCACAAGTTGGAACAGAAGAGGTTCCACTCAAATATGAGGAGAAACTTCTTCACGGTGAGGGTGGCAGAGCCCTGGAACAGGCTGCCCAGGGAGGGTGTGGAGTCCCCTTCCTTGGAGATTTTCAAGACCCGCCTGGATGCTCCTGAGTAACATGCTCTAGCTCTGGGCAATCCTGCTTCAGCAGGGGAGTTGGACTAGATGATCTCTATGGTCCCTTCCAACTCTAAAATTCAGTGAAATGGCTCCGAGATCCCCCCCTTTGAGAGCTCACAGGGAAAAATAAGCCAGGGGGGAAAACATCTCAGGGAAAGGAGGTGGGAGGATCATGGGAGCAGGAGGAACTCGGATACTGGAGAGGTATCATCGTTTAGGAATTTACACTGAAAATGCAAATTGAGTGTCATCAGGGGATGGGGAGGGACATGGTAAGTGATGAACAGGACAGAGCACAGAAAGGAGAAGAGGTTCTGTAAAGCTACCAGAGTGCATTTCAGCTGTGTCAGGTGAGAAACAAGCAGCACTTTGGAAACAGCACCATGAGAAAAACTAGATAAAATGCAGAAGAGGAGTGACCCCGTCAGCAGGGGGGTGGAAAGGTGGCTCAAACGCAACCCGCTTATCTACAGTCCCCCTGAAAAACTACATCCTCCATCACTGGTTCCGTATCTGAACCATCAGTGAAATAGATTTATGTCACAAAACTAAAGCTGCATCCTCAACAATCAGATTTCAATAGTGAGGGTTATATCCAGAACGTCTGTAATGGCATTGGAGCTGGGAGCTCTGGTTCCACCTTCTGTGACACAGGTGCCAGCAGGACCTCCCTGTTATTCTCTAGATGGCACTGAGAATAGAAAGTCATTTCATTGTGTGCTTTGGATCTTAGGATTCAAGCAAATGGCTTGTCCAAACTCTATAAAATAAAGAAACAGTCTAGAATTTTCCACAATGTCTATTGGTTCAGGAGGTGCCTCTGAGACTGCTCTACCCCGTGCTGTGTGGCAGGAGGCAATGGCTCAACCCCGGGCTCCCCGCAGGGCTCTGTGTAGCAGTGCTCCTTCTGCCTGTTCCTGACAACTGCTCCACTCAGCTGATGGTGTTTTGCTTGTCCCAGCAGCAGCCTTTACTGGTGTGGCCTCTGCACTGGTGGATTCAGTAGGTGGGACAGTGTGCTCAGGGGCCACCTGTCTCCCCAGCACTAACCCCGAGAGCTTTCCCCTCATTAGACAGATGCTGCTCGTTAGGGCACTGCTAGGAAAAACACCTGTTGAGTCTGCTGTTATCGCAGTGCTGAGCACAGACCAGGCTGTGCTAGTTCCTTCACTGCACTATTCTCACTGTTCTCCAAGCTGTCTTATTGGGGGCTTTTTGCACGTATTAATCTGGTCAGTTATAAATGTTTGAGTTAATAACTTCTGAAGCAGAGAACAGCTAGTTAAGCAATGAATCCCTCTGGATCCAGCTGTGTAGCTCTGCCTATATTAAATGGCCCTCAGAAGCAAAACCAACTGTAACGTTCAGCTGCTCACCTATTAATGTCATGTTCCTACAGACACCAAAATACAGGTTTTCAATCTCTTTTCCATCCCCTGTGATACAGAAAGCTGGTGTGGCCCCCAGAGCATCCCCCCGCCGGGGAACACCTACCTGATTTAACCCTGTCCTTCTCCACAATCACACATATCCTCTCAAACACGCTCTGCAGGCGCTGGAGCCGCTGGGTGACTTTACTCCTGTTCCCCGAGTTGAGCAGTTCCGAGAGGAGCCTCCTTTCCACGGCCAGGCGGTTGCTGACGATGTAATCGCTGCCGCCCAGGGAGCAAACCTGCACCTTCACCCCGTGAGCTGCCTTCAGGGCAGAGACCACCTCGGCGCCAGAGCAGATCTCCCTGCTGTCCACCAGGATCACCAGTGGGGTGTCCTTCTCCAGGGGGAGGCGTGACACGGGAGCCACAGCGGGGGCTACGGAAGCTGAACGAGGTGGGACCGAGGTGCTCCTGCTGGTGGTCTTCAAAGAACTGTCCACCTGTAAGCGTTGAACATCACACAGTATTATAGAATCATTCAGGTTGGAAGAGACCCTTGGGATCAGCGAGTCCAACCATCTCCCCTACTCTACAAAGTCCTCCCCTACACCATATCCCTCAGTACCGCATCTAAACGGCCCTTAAACACATCCAGGGATGGTGACTCCACCCCCTCCCTGGGCAGCCTGTTCCAATGCCCGACCACTCTTTTGGTGAAAATTTCTTTCCTAATGTTCAATCTAAACCTCCCCTGTTGGAGCTTGAAGCCGTTCCCTCTCGTTCTGTCACTAATGACCTGTGAGAAGAGACCAGCACCAACCTCTCTACAGTGTCCTTTCACGTAGTTGCAGAGAGTGATGAGGTCTCCCCTCAGCCTCCTCTTCCTCACACTAAACAGTCCCAACTCCCTCAGCCGCTCCTCATACGATTTGTTTTCCAGCCCCCTCACCAGCTCCGTCGCCCTCCTCTGCACTCGCTCCATTTCTAAGGGCTCACACAGTATTTCTAGAGATCACAGGGTATTGCTAAGAGATCAGAGGAGCACAAGGCCAAAGGTTAATAAAAAACAGTTTTCAAATACTGATGCTTAACAAAAAAAGTGGAACAAAGTATATTTTTTTTTCTTCCCAAAATCCAATGAATAAAATCTTTAAAAAGAAAAAGAGGTATTTTTTGATATTGCAAAACAAACACCTTCAGATGAACACTTTAATCCCCTACAATCTCCCGGATTGGGTGATCTCATTATTTAGCAGCCTGACTGACAAAGCGTGCAGCCTTCGCTAACGAGCTCAACGAAACCTGAACGCTGCAAAGGATACAAGGCAGGCAGAAAAGTGTCAGAGATCCTGGATCCAACCTCAGACTATGAAGGGCCTTCATGTGGGACAGTGAACAAGCATTTTATACCTACAAACCCCACAGGGTCAGTGGGCACTACTATCTGAAATAGGTCCATGTTCCTGCGTGGTTTCACTGAGTTTCACTGAATTTCACTGAATTTTAGAGTTGGAAGGGACCATAGAGATCATCTAGTCCAACTCCCCTGCTGAAGCAGGATTGCCTAGAGCTAGAGCATGTTACTCAGGAGCATCCAGGCGGGTCTTGAAAATCTCCAAGGAAGGGGACTCCACACCCTCCCTGGGCAGCCTGTTCCAGGGCTCTGTCACCCTCACCGTGAAGAAGTTTCTCCTCATATTTGAGTGGAACCTCTTCTGTTCCAACTTGTGCCCGTTGCCCCTCGTCCTCTCACTGGGAACCACTGAAAAGAGTCTGGCTCCCTCCTCCTTCAACCCTCCCTTGAGATACTTGTCAGCATTGATAAGGTCTCCCCTCAGCCTTCTCTTCTCCAGACTAAAGAGTCCCAGCTCTCTCAGTCTCTCCTCATAAGGGAGATGCTCCAGTCCTTGAATCATCTTTGTTGCCCTTCGCTGGACTCTTTCTAGTAGTTCCCTGTCCCTCTTGAACTGGGGAGCCCAGAACTGGACACAGTACTCCAGTTGTGGCCTCACCAGTGCAGAGTAGAGGGGGAGAATGACTTCCCTTGACCTGCTGGCCACACTCTTCCCTGTGCAACCCAAGATACCATTGGCCTTCCTGGCCGCAAGAGCACACTGTTTACTCATTGTCATTTTACTGTCCACCAGGACCCCTAGATCTTTCTCTTCAGTAGTTGCCTCTAGCAGGTCCACCCCTAACCTGTACTGGTACCTGACATTTTTCTTCCCCAGGTGCAGGACCCTACACTTTTCCCTGTTGAACCTCATGAGGTTCTTCCTTGCCCAGCCCTCCAGCCTGTCCAAGTCTCGCTGGATGGCAGCACAGCCCTCCGGGGTTGTCAGGCTGAAGGTAGTATCTAACCCACATTTTGTACTGAGTGACCACTGAGGAAGTCTCCAGGTGATGCTGTGAGCACAGCAGGTGCCTGTGCTGCAGAGGAGGGACCTGATGTAACCCAGCACCCACAGACACTGCCCCTCTCCCACCAGCAGCACCCTGGCGCCGGCTGCGGCGTCACCGACAGCCCTCAAAGCAAGGGCAGCAGGACAGGGTCCCACCGCCTGGAGACAGAGAGGAAGGTCCTTGGTCTGAATGAACACCCACCTTGGAGGGAGCCTGGAGATCCTCCTTCCCCCAGTCAGAACCAGTGCCAGCCGGTGGGACGCGTGTGCTCCCGACTTGATGGTCTGGGTGAAAATCCAGCAGTTCAGACACCGAAGCTCTCAAGCTGAGGAGCATCTCCCTCTTGGTCCCCAGTGGCTGAGGAGCACCAGTTTCCCCAGCAGCCTGCGTGTGCTGCGCTGGGGAGACGGAAGGCAATGGCACGGGGAGCTCAGCATTGCCATGCTCTGCCCCGGAGCACTCCGTCCTGGTGGGCTTCTCCTTGCTGACACTTGTTTCTTCCCCGCTGGAATCGCTGAGAACGATGATGCGGGACGGTTTCTTCTTCTGCACCGGGACAGAGCAGGTCCCTTCCCCCCTGGCCTGCTTCAGCCTCTCCCTGCGGCGAGTGAGGTATTGCTTCCGGCCGCCGACAAAACTCTCGTTGTTTAGGAGATCAAAATTCACACACACCTCCTCCTCGCTGGAGTCACTGGGTTTGCAAGGCTCCTCTTCCTCCTCTCCAACACAGAAACTGTCTTCTGCGTACGCCTGGTCCTGCTCGGGAATCTGGGGGGGGAAATACCCAAACCCAGTAAGTTTTGAAACACTGTCATGGTCTTGCTGCTCCTCTCCACGCAGGCACGTGGTGTACTCAGTGCATCCTGAGCAGCAGCACCGGCCCAGGGGCTCCTCGTGCCTCACACCTCCCCTGCTGAACACCCCCAGCAGTCCCAGAAATCCAGAGATTTCCCCTGGGAAATGGAGCCCCAAGCATGATTCTTATCTGCTTGCAGATACTCAGAAAGCACAGCTTGGATTTTGGTGTGTTAACAAAATAAAATAAAAAAGTAAGCATGCGTGCTTCTATCAAAGTTCAAGTTTCTGGACATTTCAACTTAAAATGAAGTCAAAAGTCTTAGAATCATAGAATCATAGAATCATCTAGGTTGGAAGAGACCCTTGGGATCATCGAGTCCAACCATCTCCCCTACTCTACAAAGTCCTCCCCTACACCATGTCCCTCAGCACTGCATCTAAACGGCCCTTAAACACAGCCAGGGATGGGGACTCCACCCCCTCCCTGGGCAGCCTGTTCCAATGCCCGACCACTCTCTCTGTGAAAAATTCTTTCCTAATGTTCAATCTAAACCTCCCCTGTTGGAGCTTGAAGCCGTTCCCTCTCGTTCTGTCACTAATGACCTGTGAGAAGAGACCAGCACCAACCTCTCTACAGTGTCCTTTCACGAAGTTGTAGAGAGTGATGAGTGTCTTGTGTCTTGTTTTAGAACTTATTATTTACCAACCCCAGGCTCAAAGCAGGATTGGAGGCTATCTGGGTGTCAGGCACTGGGAATCCCGCAGGGACAGCAGTCCCCTCCTGCCATACCTGAGAGAAAACTTCCACAGGGTTGAATTCCCGGTGAACCATCCTGTACCCAGTGCCCAGAGCCGGGCTGCGCACTGACTGCAGGTATACGCCTTTCATCGCGTGGTCTGAATTAAAACAAGAAGGTAAAAGAGAATACATATTAATAAGGACATAATTTTTGAATCATTATTGTTATATCATGTTTCCCATATTAAGAAATTCCTTTATAGACCCATAAAACAGACAGCACAGGAAGGACATGGAGCTGTTGGAACAAGTCCAGAGGAGGCCCCGGAGATGCTGGGAGGGCTGGAGCCCCTCTGCTGGGAGGGGGGGCTGAGAGAGTTGGGGGGTTCAGCCTGGAGAAGAGAAGGCTCCGGGGAGACCTTAGAGCCCCTTCCAGTCCCTCAAGGGGCTCCAGGAGAGATGGGGAGGGACTCTGGATCAGGGAGGGGAGCCATAGGATGAGGGGGAAGGGTTTGACACTGAAAGAGGGGAGATGGAGCTGAGATGTGGGGAAGAACTTGTTTGCTGTGAGGGTGGTGAGAGCCTGGCCTAGGTTGCCCAGAGAAGCTGTGGCTGCCCCATCCGTGGAGGGGTTCAAGGCCAGGTTGGAGGGGGCTTGGAGCAACCTGGTCTGGTGGGAGGTGTCCCTGCCCAGGGCAGGGGGTGGCACTGGGTGGGCTTTAAGGTCCCTTCCCACCCAAACCACTCTGTGATTCTATGAAAACAACAATTTGAGGTTCTCCAGACACCTCTGAACACCCCGAAGTCAAGGACTAGATGTACCAGCTTGCCATGGAAGGTCCTCAGAGCAGGCAGAGCAGGGCTCACGAGGCCCGGAGCAGGGAGAAGGGCAACATTAACACCAGCAAACACAAACCCTTCAGATTTCCCTGTTGCAAGTCTCCCCCAAAGCAGACACAATGATTTCTGTCTGAGAACGGGGTGGGTTTACTGAAGCCTCATGGGATCTTACAGGGAACAACTCACAATTCCAGCAGAGAAAGAAATTCCTCAGCAATATCTGGGAGTCTTAAGTAATAGGAGGAGGATTCCCTCCTGCACACACCGCAGGGAAGGTCTAGGTTCGTAAGCAAAGGGGTAAGGAAACCATCTTGGCCAAAAACCAGCATTACCCTCTCAGCTCTGTCAGAAATTTTATCTCTAACTTTCAAATTGTTATTTTGTACCATATTTTAAGTCTCTTTGTAACAGAAGACCTGAAAGATTCAGAAATTTCTAAACGAAATAGGAAATTGTGTTTCTGTTCTGTTATAATGTGTAAGAGGGGGTGGTTGACTCTTGGCAAGAGACGACCTCCTGCCCCCACAACCCTCCAAGAGCTGGCTCCAGCCCGCCCAGAGCTGTGGCACGGCCATAAATAAAGCCAGACAGCTTTTCTAATAAATACCTAATACCAGAATAACAAAAGCAGAAAGGAGGTTACTGCTGTGTAGCTGAGACACGCTGACCGAGTGGCCGTGCCTCTTACACACCATTTGCTGTGTGACACCCCACACCTTGAACCCCCCCACCTCCTCACTCACCGTCCAACACCTGGGTCACCTCCATCTCATCGTTCAGGAACTGAACCATGGAAGAGCTCAGCTCCTTCTCTGTGCCATCGCTCTCGTCAGATGAAACCCCTTCTGCCTCTTGCTGGGACAGCTCAGCTTCTTCGTCTAAAAACTGCCTTCCTGCATGCTTAAAGAGGAAAAATTCCAAATTAAATTTTCATCAGGAGCTGGCTCCCAATTAACTAACATCACGTATGAGACCTCCAGTTACATCAGTTCCTGACTTCAGAACTTCAGCTGCTCAAATGGGCATGGATATTGGCCTTCTGGCTCTGAAAAGAGAATCCTCTCCAGGAAAAGGGGGTGTAAAGAACCCGAAATTCAGTGAAATACGTGACAGCACACAAGTGTGTGTCCCACCAGCACAGAGGGTGAAGCTGGTGTGGGTTCAGCTGCTGGCAGAGGTGCCCACTGTGGAGCACTGCCCACACTGCAGCAGTCAGTGCTACAGGCACAGACTACTAACACGTGGTAGCTAAGCTACCCACAAATATATTGTTTTTAATTTATAAACCTACTTTTACTCATTTTATTTGCTTTCAAAGGTCTGCTCTCATTTTGAAGAGCTGGATCATTGAACACAAAGCCACTGGAAACTTCAAATCCAGCCTTCACCCTGGTTTGCCCTTTATCTGTGTAGGACTTGGGATTGTTTGATGAATTCATCAGACAACGCAACTCGTTATTGAGGAAATGCCCATCTTTGGGGGAGGATGAGGCACTTCCCAGGTGACTGCAGTCCAGGGGACACGATTCAAACCTTGCTGCCAAGTTCCATCAAAACCAGACAACTAAACATTCACATGGATATGCATGGAAACAAAACAAATGAGTTCAGGAAAATATATCTCGTCAGAGCTACTTTGTATTAAGCTAACTTTTTCTCTTATCATTTAGGCGATAAAGTACTAAAGTAAAATGTGAAAAGAACCCAAAAAACATTATGTGTCCCAATTGCTCCAAAAGAAAGACTCATCTGCCTTCAAAATGCTTTGAATGAAAAGCACAAAGCTGTAAATTGTTGTTCAGTACATGGCAGACAAGGGATCTTGAGCTAAAATAAGTGACATCTCTGATTTTCAATTTTTCCTAAGTCCTTTAATTATTTGCTTACACCAATTAGTGATCCTGACTGACAGGCAGTATTAATAGTTCCTTTTCTCAAAGAGTTTGCTCATTCTGAAACGCAGAGTGGAATGAATGAAGGCAGAGTGGAATGTCATAAGGATACACACTCTCTTTCCAGGAACCTTTTGGTCTCACATAAAAAATCCCCCACATTTAAATAAAATGGAAAAATGGATTTTTCATCACTGATACTTTAGGGAAGTCTCCATAATGAAGATTATCTGTAAAACATTAAAAATATCCAACATATTGTGCCTCTGGAGCCCTGATTACAGTATTTTCTGCCAAGCCATCCACATGTATTTCAAAGCTTTTTAACTTACTATGAATATATCATTCTGACCCCGTATCCTCTCCTGCATCCATTCCTGACAGATTAAAGTGTAAAATACAAAGCTAAGATTTAAGATTTGGGATTGAGGGACTACTGCTGTCTTAATACGTCCAGAGTTGAAACCAGTAGAGTAGGTGGTAAATTCATACGACCAAGTATCCTACCAGCTGAGTCCTGGAGGAGAACCTGGGCTGCCCGAGTCTGGGTAACCCCGGAGTATCTTCTACTGAAAATCGGTATTTTGCTTCAGAACATTGTTATGCAGGGCCCTGCAGACTCCTCTGGAAGTCAGGCAGCAGGTGTGAGGGTTCAGATCATTATCCAGTTGTTACAAGACTCCATCTCAAATGTTTGCAATGAACTCGTGTGAAATAGCTCTAAGCCTCAATCCGCCTGAACAGTCTCAAAACCAGCTGTCCCACTGCCTGCCTACCACAACACAGCCGTAGTGTGAGATCCTACAAAGGCCAGAGAATAGACAGAAGCTCCATCTTTTAGGCCATAAAACACACACAAGCTCCAGCATGAGCGACTCAATGGCACAGGGAATTTTTGTCCTAAGTATGTGAGACCAGTGCTCAAGAATTCTGGCATTTTCGTGGTTTTATAAAATTTCAATACGGACAAATTACAAAACACTTTCAGTTCACTCTTGCGGTTTGAACAGAAAGTAGCATCTCACAAAGTCTCTTTTTGCCTCTTTTTTGGGTTTTGTGTTTACATACCTTGTATGAAAAATTGCTCTTCACCTTCTGCCGCTTTGTGCTTCTCAGCTGGTTTTGGTTCCGGGCTGAGCTGCTGCTCCTGGGCCTGCTTGAGGCCTTGCGAAAATCCACACTCTCGTCACTGGACACATCTGACTAGAGGAACATTTCACCAACACTTCAATAAATAAGACTAAAGCAACCAATATCTTAATTATACCATCACCCTTCAATGTCTGCAGGTTTTCAAGCAACACCCGATTTTTGTGATGGATTTGCTCTGGCAAAATAACACAATAATGCAAATCATCTTCTTAAATACAAAAGGAACAGAAAAAACATTCTTTGAAAGAAAAATCAGGTCAAATGTGACTTTTTTTTTTTTTTTTTGCTTGTAGCTGTGAATAACTGAATTGGGTTATTTTTCCCTGGTGTGTTTTGGGGCACACTAGTGTACATCTTTTTATTTTT